TATTAAAACACACTATATACAAATAATAACAGATACAACATTCCTCTTTCTATATATATATAAAAAAAAATTGAAAAAATGTATATACCTAAGCTTCTTTCATTTTTAAAACATTTTTTTTTAATATGGCAAATATGTTTATTTAAAAAAAAAAAATAGTATATTATGTGGCAAGCACGTAAAGTAGTACTTTTTAGGTGAGGATGTAATTTTCAGTACGAGCTGTCGTTAGTGCGACGTAGGTGAGACGAAGGCGAGCTGTAGGTGAGATGAAGACGAGCCGAAGGCGAGTCGAGTCGAGCCGAAAGCGAGCCGAGTCGAACCGAAGTCGCACAGACAGCGAGTATTGAAATCATCCGAACCTAAAAATTACTACGTGCGAGCCACATACGCTATTTTTTTCGCCATTGTTATGAAAAAGTGAAACAATTTTAAAGAAAAAAAATAATAAAAATTGATAAATAAAATAAAAGCAAAAAAAAAAATTATGCAAAAATTAACAACTGCCTAAAAAAGACTTTATAGGGCAGTTTACTGCCTAAAAAAGACTTTATACGGCAGTTTGCTGCCTAAAAAAGTCTTTTTTAGGCAGTTGGCCCAAACTGCCTTAAAAAGTGCTACTTTATCTGCCCAAAACAGGCACAAAAAAGACACTTTTTCATGTCAATGGCGAAAAAAATTATTTATTCAGCGTATAGAGATTTATTGAATTTTTCGTATGCTTTTGAAATAATATAAGAAATTAATATTGCAACTAAATTGAGAAAAAAAATTTTTTAATTCTTGAGAAAAAAATTTTAATACAATATGTTTAGTTGTAACAAAATTTATCTTTATCCGCAAAACTTTTTATGAAAAATAATTCTAATTTAAACAAAAAATACAAAAAGTATTGTAAAAACCACAATACATATTGTAAATAATACAAATGGTATTGCAAAAAATACAATACATATTGTACATTATTAGAGCTGTATTGACTATTGATCTATGTCTCTGAATATTGAGGTTATGTTTGTATCTATTTTCACGCCGCGAAAAGAACGTGACTTTAGAATAATGGCTATTATCACGCCGTGAAAAAACGTGACTTTAGCCGATTGTCTATTTTCACGCCGTCGACAGACGTGAATTTAGCCAAATATATTTTTTAACATCGGGACTTTGGCCATTTGTCTATTTTCACGCCGTAAAATGACGTGAATTTAGCCGTTTGTCTATTTTCACGCCGTCGACATACGTGACTTTAGCCAAATATATTTTTTAACGCCGGGACTTTGGCCGTTTGTCTATTTTCACGCCGTAAGTTGTCGTGCATTTAGCCGTTTGTCTATTTTCACGCCGTGAAAAGACGTAAATGTAGCCAAATATCTACTTCTACGCCGGGACTTTAGCCGATTGTCTATTTTTACGCCGTAAGTTGATGTGGATTTAGCCGATTGTCTATTTTCACGCCGTAAGTTGATGTGGATTTAGCCGATTGTCTATTTTCACGCCGTAAGTTGATGTGGATTTAGCCGATTGTCTATTTTCACGCCGTAAGTTGACGTGAATCTAGTCAAATGTCTATTTTTACTTCGTAAAAGACGTAAACTTAGACAAATATCTACTTCTACGCCGCAACTTTAGCCAATTGTCTATTTTCACGCCGTCGCCAGGCTTGACTTTGATTAAATATATTTGTTTACGCTGAGACTTTAGCCGATTGTCTATTTTCACGCCGTAAGTTGACGTGAATCTAGTCAAACGTCTATTTTCACGCCGCAAAAAGAACGTGACTTTAGAATAATGGGTATTTTCACGCCGTAAATTGACGTGACTTTAGCCGATTGTCTATTTTCACGCCGTAAGTTGACGTGAATCTAGTCAAACGTCTATTTTCACGCCGCAAAAAGAATGTGACTTTAGAATAATGGGTATTTTCACGCCGTAAATTGACGTGACTTTAGCCGATTGTCTATTTTCACGCCGTAAGTTGACGTGAATCTAGTCAAATGTCTATTTTCACGCAGCAAAAAGAATGTGACTTTAGAATAATGGGTATTTTCACGCCGTAAATTGACGTGACTTTAGCCGATTGTCTACTTTCACGCCGTCGCCAGACTTGACTTTGACCAAATATATTTTTTACGCTGGGACTTTAGCCGATTATCTATTTTCACACTGTAAATTGACGTGAATTTAGCCAAATATCTATTTTCACGCCGTAAATTGGCGTGAATTTAGCCAAATTTCTAATTCTACGCCGGGAAGTTAGCCGATTGTCATTTTTCACGCCGTAAAATGACGTGAATTTATCCAAATATCTATTTTCACGCCGTGAAAAGGCGTGAATTTAGCCAAATATAGACATCAACGCCGGGACTTTATCCGATTGTCTACTTTTCCCGCCGCGAAAAGACGTGACTTTAGATACATGCCTATTTTCACGCCGTGAACGGACAAGAATTTAGCTAAATTTCTATTAAAATATTTCGGCGCGATTTTTAAAATAAAAATCAATTAATAATACATAGAAAAAAAACATGTTTTCCCCTTATGAATGAACAGAATTCAATTAAAAATATATTGCACGAGAATTCCAGTAAATAACAATAAACATTATATATATATTAATACAAGTGAAAACCGCGAATTCTGACGCATATCACAAACATCGAACAGTAAGCATGCTTGGAAGTTTAATTAGGTATACGCCTTCACGCTATATGGAAAATCGTGACGTATACAAATTGATGTCTATAAGAGTATATATATATGTATATATATCCACACTTTACAACACCCTCTTTTAGAGAAGGTGGAAAAGGCAAAATGGGTGGTGTGCGCAAGTGGAGACACCTAAAAGGACTGAAAGAGGGTGAGAGAGAGAGAGAAAGAAAAATAAAGCAAAAGAGAGACGAGAGAATATAGAGGATGATGGGGAATGGCGTTCGATGGTCGGGAAAACGAAGGGGGTGAAAAAGGGGTTGAAGGGGACACACTGTAAAGGATGGAAGAGAGGATTGTGGAAATGGACCGTTGCCTCGAGCACGAGTCGTGTCTGCACTACATTATCAGGACACTCTCTCACGCATATACACACAAATATATATATGTATGTGTATATGTGTTCATTCGAGGTCTGGAAGAAGTTCGGGCTCAACTTTTGTACACGTCAGATTGAAATTTAGCGTGGGATTTGAATGAGCTTCGGAAGTAGCGAGATTACCTCTCAGTGACTTCTTCGATACTAGCAACGAATCCAAGTATAACTTCGCTTATACCAAATATATATATATATACCTCTATATCGAAACATGAATTCCATCGGGTCGACTAATCTCTATTGACAAATGACGAGCTTTCCAATTCCACGCTTTTCTTAAATCATCCGCCGCCGATTTCTCCTTTTTTTTTGGATTCTCGACTTTGTCCAGCATCCGTCAATGGGACCAAAATGTGCAGGACATACACGAGAGGCAACTTTTTTCATTTCGTTTCTCTCTCTTTCTCTCTTTGTAATATATATATGTATGTACTTTCAAATTACTCGCAAGAAATATATTTTCTAAATATAAAAAACTCTATATGTTACTGTTTTTTTTTTCCCACTTATAAACATTAAAATAATTTTCGGTTTTGGTAGAGTGAAAAAAATAAAATTATTTGTTTCAATTAATTTGTTTTATTATTAAATAAATATTTTACTTGAACCGAATAATTTTTCAGTCGCAATTAAATTGTATTTGTTTTAAATATACATAAATAATTAGTTCAAATATACAGTTTTATTTAATTGAAATAAAAATTATTTGGTTCAATTAAATATATTTATTTGACAATAGTCAAGTAACCGATTATTTGAATCAATTAAATTTTTTTTCAGTGCAAAAGGACAACTAGAAAATCTCCATTAAAAATTAATTATATCACATAAAAAATATAATTTTATTGTATTAAAATAAACAAATTATTATTATTATTACTATTATTATTAATACTATTATTATTATTATTATTACTATTATTATTATTACTATTATTACTATCATTTATAAATAATAATCTCAATTGTAAAGTATTGAAAATTTCAATAAATCGCAAATGGCATCGAACAAGCGAATCCTTCACTTATCTTATCATTATTATTATATATTCTATTCGATATTTAGTGCTCTAAAACTTGCAGCTAATGATCGATAAAACAAATTTTATGCATCGTTTTTTCAATTATTTTTTTTTTTTTTTTATTTCTCTTGAACACAATGAGAAATTTCAATTTGCAAAAGAATAACGTTTTTTTTTTTCTTTTTATAGAATTGAATAATATTTTCCGAAATTCATTCATTCTTATATTTCGCAATGAATTGAACGTATACAATAAACTAATTGCATTTTATTTATTGAAATGAAAATTGTATATACCTTGAATCTGTAATTAACACGTATAAAATTTAAATCAAACATATATATATATAGTATATGTTTAGATTGCAAATTATTACGAATCATTGAGATTAAATAAATGAGTGAATTTAAAAATTTTCCATTATTTATATATAATATGAAATTTTAATGTATCATAAATATAATATAAATTTTATTATTTTCATTAATACATGCGGAAAAAAGGGAATCTTTTGTTAAGCCCTATTGATAAATTTTCGCAACTAATGATACATTATTCTCTCATGGAAAAAAAAATAAATTAAAAATCCTCATCTTCTCGAAAAACAATATTATTTACCTGTTTTTTTCGGGGGGTATATTATGTTTTAGAAGAATATATTTAAAAAATGAAAAAAATCAAAATTTTATAAATGGCAATAATTAGTATTATATAATTAATTAGTCTTGACTGATATATAATATAAAAAAAACTTATTGTGTGTGGAAATATAAATAAATATAAATGAGATATTTTTTGTTGAAAATAAAAAATTATAACAAATAATAATAAATATATATTCAATTTCGATTGAGTTAGTAAAAATAATAATGATGAGTTTTGATATTACCATATGAGTTGTGAAACTGTTGGTGATGAGAGTCGATTCCAGATCCAGGATGATGGATATCCAGCATGGCGTCCGGGTCACCGCCGCTCTCAGAGCAGTTGCTCAGCGCTAAAACCAAACCGATAGACACACACCTTGCATTTTCGCTTTTTTTTTTTTGTTTTTTTTTTTGTTTTTTTTTTACTTTTTATTTTCGTCAACCTCCCGTTTCCGGCTGCTCTCAACGTCTCTCTTAACTTCCCTAAACCTTTTTCCGTTTTTTTTTTTTAAATCAGTGCTTCGATTAATTTCTTGAGTGAAATTTCCAAAAGAAAAATTTTCATATTTCATTATATTAAAAATAAACGCTATTCTTCCTTTCATTAAAAGATTTTTACAGATAAAATTTTTTTATTATTATTATTATTATTATGATTATTGTTATTAATTATTCCATATTTTATCTATTTTTACCATTTCTTATTTATTATATTACAAATCTAATTCTTTAATTTTATGTAAATATTTATTAAGTTTTATTATTTACTTATTTTGATAATTTATCTAATTAGCAATTATTTGTCTATCTGTTATATTATTAATTTACATTTATTGATTTTTTGATTTTATAATTTACTTATTCATATTGAATTTTCCAACTATAAATAATTCATTAACAAAATTTACTTTGTTAAAAATTCATAATAATAATTTTAATTTTCTTTAAATGGTATAAATAAAATTAAAAATTTGTTTAAAGTAAAATAATAATATTTATAAATAATAACATTGATATTAGTAATAAAAGAAATATTAATAATAGTATATAAATTAAAATTACAATAAAAAATGATAATAACAAAAGTGAAAGAAAGAGGTAAATTTATAAAAGAAATTACAAAAAAAAATTATCGAGGCACTGATTGTTTCGAAAATAAAATTTTTTGTTTTTTATACAACGATCGTCAAAAGGGTTGAAAAAAACCTTATGTGGGTAATAAATCATTAAAAATAGTTAATCCGGATTAAAAGTCGAGTTATTTTTTTCAGAGCGGCGTTGTGAGTCGTGAGGTGACTATTATATTTTTGGTCAATGAGAAAGAAACGAAACTTTGCGAATTTTCGCTCTATTTCGTTATGATTGAACTCAACATTAAAGCAAAATAATATATAAACTTAATTAATTAAGCTTAATTTTAAACAAAACTTAAATATAAGAAAATTATATATATATATATGTAATATAATAATAAAATCAATTACAAATAATATTAATAATTAAATATAATTATAATAATATAAATATAAATCACACAGCGATCTAAGGCACACGCACAAACTTACGGAACTAATATAAAACTAAATCAACTAATTTGGTTGCAGCGTCTTCACCTCGTGCATTGCAAACACAATATAAATACAATAATTAATCTTGGACAAAAAAAAAAAGAAAAAAAAAATATTGTGCAAAAACTTTCCACTGCCTCTTGAAAATTAGGCCCACGTTGTGAAATTGAAAATTTTCTGCACAGGGCAAATTTGTTCGAAAGAAACAAGAAAAAAAGGAAGTCAATTAAATACTGTACCAATTATAATTAATTATTAGGAAAAAAAATTTTTTTTAATCGTAACAATATTTATTGTAGACAATACAAAAAGTATTGTGAATACCACAATAAATATTGTAAATAATACGAACAGTATTGTAAAAACTACAATACGTATTGTAGATAATACTAATCGTATTGTAAAAATTACAATAAATATTGTAGATAATACAAAAAAGTATTGTAAAAACTACAATACGTATTGTAGATAATACAAATCGTATTGTAAAAACTGCAATAAATATTGTAGTTAATACAAAAAAAGTATTGTAAAAACTACAATAAATTAAATAATAATTAAAAATAATGACAGTAATTATATTGAGCGAGTATTAATTCAAATTTTAATTTAAAAAACGATGCGAATTTTTTTTTTTCATTCTTTTTACTGTTGCAACACATTTCAAAACAAAGACACTGCGAATTAAAATTCAAATGGCAAGGATCGCATCGATAATTTCGAATTATACAGGAACAAAGGGGAAATGTGACAAGGATAAGGAATTTTTACGTATTTATGCTGAGAAAAGGACGAATTTCCTATTCACATAAAACTAAAATATGTAGATTAAAAAAAAAGAAAATTAAATAAAATAACCCCGTGTTCAATCGCAGCGAAATATTTCGTTTCTATTATATACGGACCAAATTTTTCCGATTTTAATTTCTAATTATTATTATTTTTTTTTTTAATAAATTAATGACCTGAAACGCGCAAACTTTTTTTTTTTGGTGCGATTTGTCTATCCATTTGGTTTCAATATATCCAAAATCACGAAAAGAATTTTCAAAAAAAAAAGGGGGGGGGGCTAGTGAATATGTATTAAAACTGATTTTTTTTTTCACGAGAAGGAAAAGAAGCCTCAAAATAATATTATGAAAATGGAAAGAAGGGATCACCTTTTATTATAATTAATTTTCAAAAAAAAAGGAGACAAAGTGATCGGATGCAATAACTGCATTTACGCTCTCTAAACGCCCACATCGAGTCCCTTTTTAATCTAATTAGCTGTCGTTTCATGACCTTCAAGAATAGCCAATAGAATATTATTACTTGAAAGTAGGAGACGGTTATTGCATCCAGACACTCAATTATTATTCAATAAATAATTATTTATGAAACGAATTTTGAAAAAAAATATCACTGGATTTTTTTCCCATTAAAAAGAATAAATAAATGAAGATTTTGAAAAAGTGTAATAAAAAATAGAAATATTCATATCCCACAAAATTTGTTAAAATTTTTTTCCTTTTCAATTATAACATTATTTCCATAAGCTGAAAAATCTTCTCTTTCATCTTCAGTGATGGCATCTGTAGATATTGTTTTTTTTTTTTTATCTTCAAAGACGATTATCAATATATAAAAATGACACTACCTTGAAGAACCATATATAATACAATTTTTGGAAACAAACCATAAATAAAGAATACAAAACTATAGCTAATAATCACATATTTTAAGAAACTTTCAAAATTTTAGACCAATTTTGGCAAAAACAAAAAAAAACCTCCTTCATTCAAAAAAAAAAACACAACTTTTCTAAAAATATCGACTAAACTGTATATAGTGAAATATTATTTATAAAAAAATAAAAAGATAACTCGACAGAACTAATGGTGTGTAAGAAATTTCAACTTATTTCACTTCTATATAATAGAGACGAATAATTTTTTTTTTTTTGTTTTCAAAAATATTCATCCTTCTTTCCTGAAAAGGCATTTAATTTATTAAAAAACAGTTTCAAACATTAATAATTTTTTTTCCTATGTCATTAATTAAAAAATACATAAAAATTACACACGGAGAAAAAAGTTAGCCATATTAGCTAAAATTTAGCTATTTTAGCTAACCCTATTTGCTATTATATGGACAGCAATTTTCGTTAGCTAATACAGCTAAATATTAGCTACTGTAGCTAAAAATTAGCTATCCATATAATAGCAAACTCATTTTTCTCCGTGCAGTAAATTAATTTATAATCGTGGAAAAAAATATAATAATTAATTACATTGTTAATTAATTATTATTTATTTGTTTCGCTTTTTAATCTTCGACAATATTGTACGTATAAATAAAAAAAAAAATAAAATAAAATTATTTCCAAAAAAAAAAACAAGGGGGGGGGAAAGAAAAATTGAAATATTTCATATATATATGTAAAACTGTAAGGCGCGTAGAAAAATCATAAAATTGTATTCGTCTATTGCTATAAATACAGTCAGCACTGTAAACACTATCAGAAGTTTCTCTATTCAGTTTGCACCCCTCCCAACGCCCCTTTAAATATAGGGTGCATTCTAGTCAGTGGTGCTTGCATGCAGCTTCGTGCATGCAAAAACACATGGAAATAGATACACGTGTGTATGTGTCCTTTGCATGATGCGAAGAATGAGTCAGCGGAGTCAGCCAGTGAAAAGTAGAACATTACTTTTATTTAAAAAAAAAAAAAAAAAAAAAAAAAACTAATTTTTATTTTATTTACATGAAAAATAAAATTAATTTATTTTTAAAAACGGTTTTTAATTTTTCATAATCACTTTAAGCAATTCCTTTATTTTTTCTGTGAGGATAAGAAAATTGGATTCAAAACAATTTTCGAATTTTTCTATATTTTTAAAAACAATTATTATAATTTATATTACAATAATATAATTTTTGCAATTAATTTTGAAGAAAAATTACAGAGAACAAAATTTATCTCAGAATTACTAAATAAATGCAAATAAAATAAAATTCTATTCTGCCTTCCAAAGTAAAAAAATATATAATTAACAATAAAAACATTGTTGGTTACGGCTTTTTACTTTGGACGGCAGTATTTAATTCAAATGAAAATTTTATTTATGTCAAATATAATATTTTATTTGCTAAATATTATTATTAATAATAAATAGTTATTTAGCAATGAGAGAAATAATTTTTAATTCAACTATATATTGAATTGTTTCAATTTTCGAAATTGTTTTTAAAACATAAAAAATTACAGCCCTAGTGATAAAAAAATAAAAAGCGTTTGCAAAAAATTAATAAAAATTTGTCCTATTGCAAATTATTCATTTGCACGAGTTTACCTTCAATTTAATAAAAAAACTAAAAAAATAATAATCAAATTGGCTTTTAAATCGAATTTTTAATAATCAACTAGTTATAAAAATAAGTTATTCTGATATTTTATCATTTATAAGAATTATTAATTTTAATTATTAATTTTTAAAATTTTAATATTATAATTCATAAGAAAACTTTAAAAATGATATTTAACCGATAAAAATGAAAGAAAGGAAAATTCTTTAAATATGAATAAATGTCAAGAGTTTTTTTTTTTTGTTTAAAATGAAAAACCAAAAATTAATTTATATCAAAGAGATTAAAAATTCATTTCATCATTTTGAATGTCATATAATAATATTATTATTAAAGAACAAGAACGACCGGTGGAAGTCAGATGAAGAGCAATGGTCTGCTTATCATAAAACATACCAGTGTCACCTTTCAGTTATCAACGTTCTCGTACAACT